ATCAGTCCCCTGCTCCCAGGAAGGGAGTGGATCAGGCAGCGTAAATCCCTCCACCTCAAGCCTGATGGGTCAGCTGGCAAAGCACCTCCCAGCACATCTGAGCTGGCTTTCAGCTTGCAGCGAAGTTGGGGAAGGCGAGGCAGGAGCATTTCAACCCTGCTCCCTTCTCTCCCCCTGAAAATCCTGGTCAGCCCGGTAGCAACCCGGCGCCCCTGGGCTGCACGTGGCTTTCCCATTCCCAGGACAGCAGGGAGTGACAGTCCCTTGCTCCCAGGCCTGGCTCTTACAGCCCTGGCAGAACCTGCAGGGGCGAGCTGAGGGCGGGAATAGCAGGTGGCAGATTTGAGGGGCATCAGCAGACCTGGGTGCGCGGGAAAACGAACTGCCCAGCTCCCAGGCCCAGCTCCCTTCCTAGACACACCCTTTTTGTGATTACTGCAGGGCTTGCCCAGCACACACAAAGGCAAAGGAAAGTGAAAGTGGCCGGCAGGAGAAAGTGGGCAGGACCCATCCTGGCAAGGAACCCGGCGAGCTCTGGAACAGGCGGGCCAGGCACTGCCCTCCCCAAGCACAATGCCAGGAAGGGCTGGGGGCCTCCTGCCAGCTCTGAGCACCGCGCCCTGTTCCTTTCAGTGTCACAGTTCAGGCCACAGGCTGCCGTGTGTATGTTGCGGGGGGAGAGAGAGACCACATGGCCTGGATTGGCTGGCAAAGCAGCCAGGAGAGCAAGGCCCTTTATTTCCATGTGGGCCTAGACCTAACATACCCAGCTGGCAGCATTTAGGCCTCATTGCCCCTCCAGCCCCCCAGTCTCTCTCCTCTGCCAGAGGGGGAACTCCCCATGCCACCAGGAGTCAAGACGCTGGGGGTCTTTTGCAGGGGATGGGGCGGGAAGTGCTGCTTGTGGGTTTGGGACCCGGAGCCGCATCCCCGGCTGGGAGCGACGAGGACGGAGGACTGAACTGGGCCATGCTTGCCCGCTGCTGGATTTTAATCACAGTTCTGGAGCCAGCTGCTCTGGGAGGCTGTCCCTGCACCAAGGCCCAATCCACCCCCCAGCTGGAGAAGGGGGCGCAGGTGGAACAGTCTCCGCAGAACATAACTCCCCACCCTCCAGCTTCTCGCTCCCAGGACAATGGCTGCCATCTCCTCCTGCTCCCACCAACAAGTTGGGCTGCCTCGTCCCCTCCCCACCCCTCCCTCCCCAGCTGCTCCCAGCTGGCTAGTCTCTCCTGTGCCTTACCCACCCACCTCCCACGGGCTTTGTTCAGGAGCAGCCGCCCTAGGAGCATCTCTGTTTGCGGCACGCTCGGCACTTCTGCCAGGGCGGACACGTCAATGGTAATAAGCATCGTTACTACACGAGAATGCTGCGGTGGTCCCTGTGTCCAGCACAGGAACAACCGGCAGAGCCCTGGTGACCTGTGGGTGCCAGCAGGGGGTGCTCTCTGCCCCAGCATGACTGCCAGGCAGATGCGGGCACCAGGGCTAGAGAGGACTCGGGTGCAGGTGTTCTGAGGTTTGGCGGCCGGGGCTGGGCTACCCTAGGGGGCATACAAAGGCAGGGGCGGGAGCTGGGAACCCATGCCGACAGGAGATGGGGGGAGGGAGCCAGGCTGCAGAATGGAGCTCAAGGAGGAGTCAGCTCCCCAAAACAACAGGCACTGGGGGACAGGAGAGAGGAGACGGGGTTGGAAGTGCCAGGGCTCCGTGGGACTTAGAGAAGGAGAACTGGAGAAGGGGGGGCCTGGTGCCATATGGGGTAGGGGCTGTACTGAACCTCAGACTGGGGGTGGACCCCCCAGCAGGGACAGGCAGGGCAGGAGGCATGAACACCTGGGGAGCCATGTGCAGGGATGACTGAGAAGGGGGATGTGGCTTCCCAGCCTGGTTCCAAGAGACTGGTGCCTGGGACTTTTCTCTTTCCCACCGTCCATTAGAGAAGAGGGGCAGATACCAGCCCTTCTCCCTGCCTGGCTCGGGGCGGGGAGGCGTGCCCCAGGGCTGAGCTCAGCCCACAGTGAGCTGCCCTGCGTGTGTGTGGCCAGACACCTGATCCTCCATGCAGAGGCGCGGGGCTGAGCTCGCCAGCCGCCTTAGGCGGCGGGGAAAGCGGGGGTGAGCAGGCGATGGCTGGAGACACTTTCCTTGTACACACATCTGGAAAAAACAATCTCTTCCCCTCTCTGAGCACGAGGCTGGGGAGCTCAGGGGAAGGACAGAGGAGCAGCTTGCCAACAGCTGCCTTCAGACCGGGAGCGTGGGGGCAGCCGCACATCCAGAAGCATCAAACTCGATCCCTGACCTGCAGCCCTAGGCCTTCTCTCGGGGGCTTCCCAGCTCCTTGTGTGTTCTCAGGGCCGGGCCAGCCATTAGTGGGGCCCCAGCCTCCACTCTGCCCTGCCTCCACTCTGGTTCTGCTGCTGCCAGTGTATGCGTGGGGGGAGGTGGGGGAAAGGGGCGTGAGATCAGGCTGGGTGAGAGTCACAGTCCTGCCTGGACACAGCTTATTAAGGCAGAGGGAGTTTTTCTGTTGCTTTCAACTTTGGACCATGGGGAGCTGACCCCTCCTCCCACAGACAGACAGTCTGAGGACCAAACCCAGTGGAGATCCACCCACACCCGCCGGCCCCCGGCTCATGGATTTCTACGCGTGACTGTTTCTTTGCCCAGTGCCCACTGGCAAGTTACGGTCCTGGGCAGGAGAGCTGAAGACGGTGTCTCGGCCATCCCCGTGCATCATCCCCGTGGTGGGCACCCCCCCGTGCAAGCGCAGCCTCTCACCAGTACAGCGATTCCTTCTGCATCACCTCCTTCAGCTTGCGCTGGTCCTCTTCGCCTAGGCTGCGGAACTCGTACTTGGGGCTGAACTCAGCCGCCGGGGGGCTCGCGAACGTCACGTTGAACGCAGAGGCTGGGAAATCGATCTGGGGGGAGGGGCGGAAAGCAGGTCAGAGGCCAGAGTAACAAGCTACTGCCCTTCTCAGGGCCCCTTGGGGTGTTCACGCCACATATTGCTGACCCCGAGGCACGTGGTGTTCTCAGGATACCTGCCTGCCCCATGTCCCTGCTCCCCCACAGCAGGAGGTTCTGGGGTTCCCCTCACTCTGTGCTTCAGCCCTAAGGCCAGTAAAGTGCCCACGCTCCCCAGGGCTCCCTGCCCAGTGCAAACTCCGAACGGACTACTACAACGCTCATTACTAAGGCCATGAAACTCATCACACCCAGCTTCAGCAAGAACCAGGCGCAGGGAGGCTCCAGCTGAATCTCCCCCAAACTCTAAGCCCCATCTGGAAGATTTTTGGCTCCCAGTGTGGGGCACTCACCTGCAGGATAACGCTGTCGGGCTGGTTGAAGTTGGGGGCACTCGACCTGGCACTGGAGTTGTCCTGAGTTGCTGGCCACAAGCCCAACAGCTTCCGCCCGCAGGTCAAGACCCTGGAGAAAGGAAGGAGACAGGGCAGGGGTGGGCGATAAGCCAGAGGCGGTTCATCAGGGTTAGCCGCTA